ATTTTGTAAACTAAAAATTCCATAACGTTGTCGGTTTCGTCATATGGAGTTGTTATCTATTGCAAGTTACCAAAAACAAATTAAACAAGTAAAAAAGCTGTAAGTTCGGCCGGGCCGAACTTTTAATACCCTCCACCACTTGGTACAAATTTGGCAATTTCCACAAACAAAAATAAATAAATAAATAAATAAAATCCGTTAAAAATTCTGTTAAAATCTTTAAAATTCCGAATGCTTATACGACGACTTGGACCTGCATAGGCAACTTTTGTCATAAGTTATTACAATATTTAAATGCGAAACTTGAAGAAAAATCTGTTTATATGCACAGACAATTTTCTGGCATGGGCCGAAGTATCCATTACGAACTTCACATGCGAAATTTGAAACAATCCCGGTAAATAGTGTCGCTAAAATCATCAAAATACCGAATATCGGGGGGTACGGTATATCGGGGCTATATGAAGACGTGGACCTACATGGCTTATTTTTTGACTTAGGATGTAGTATCCATTACGAACTTCAAATGCCAAATTTGAAACAATTCCGATGAATAATGTCGCTAAAATCATCAAAATACCGAATATCGGGAGGTACCGTTATATGATAACTTGGACCTACATGGCCCATTTTCGAACTTAACCTGCCTACTGGCAAAATATACATGTGTGCAAAATTTTAGCCTTCTATCTCAATTTGTTCGAAAGATAGCGTGATTACAACAGACAGACAGACAGACGGACATGGCTAAATCGTCTTGGAATTTTACGCTGATCAAGAATATATATACTTTGTTGGGTCTGACATGAGTATTTCGAGGAGTTACAAACGGAATGACAAAATTAGCATAGTATGGTGGAGGGTATAAAAAACAAGTAAAAATTTGGAACGATTTTGGCAATTAAAAAAAAAATAAAATCCGTTAAATATTCTGTTAAAATCTTAAAAATACCGAATTTAGCCGTTATATTAGGGTCTATACGACGACGTGGACCTACATAGGAAATGGTTTACGACAACCATTACAATATTTACATGCGAAACTTGAATAAAAAATCGGTGAATAATGTCGAACAAATCACCAAAATACCGAAAAAAGGGAGGTACCATTATATGCGGGATATACGAAGACGTGGACCTGCACAGACAATTTTTTGTCTTTGGATGTAGTATTCATTACGAACTTCAAACACCAAATTTGAATCAATTCCGGTCAATAAAATCATCAAAATATCGAATATCGGGAGGTAGCTTTATATGGAGGATATACGAAGACGTGGACCTGCACAGACAATTTTCTGTCATAGCCTGTAGTATCCATTACGAACTTCAAACACCAAACTTCAAACCTCACTTCCGGTGAGGTACCATTATATGGGGTCTATACCAAAACGTGGACTAACATCACCCATTTTCAATACCAAAGGTCTGGCAGACATAATTCACATTTGAGTAAAATTTTATCAACCTACTTCATTGCGTTCGGAAGCTAGAGTGATTTCTCCATACGGACGGACATCGCTAAATCGACATAGAATTTCATGCTGATCATATATAGATACTTTGTGGGGTCTAAAATGTATATTTCGAGGTGTTACAAACGGAATGATAATATACCCTCCATACTATGGTGGAGGGTATAACAATTGTATCATCAAAATGCCGAATATCGGGAGCTGCCATTTTATGAGCCTTGTAGGAAAACGTGGGTCAATATAGCTCATTTTCAATACCGATACCGTGAAATTATAAAATGAAAATATCATCCTTGGATTCCACGCCTGCATAAGCAAGAAAATAATATTTTTGGTGCAACTGCATTTCTTAAGATCAGATCCTTAATAGGTATAAATAGCAATAATATTCATCGTGAGCTTTTCCAAAAAATAAATAAACAATCCAACAATTATAAAGCATCCGAAGACTTTAAAGAATGTTTCACTAGAAACATATCAAGTTTTAATGTTTATATTCATAATTATAGAAAATAAAGTTTCTTAAACATCCTCTCTAAATTATTTTCCGTACATCAACTAAAGTACACACATGATAAATACATATCACTAGGGGTATAGTAAATCCTTAACGTTTTCTAAGGTTCGTCTACACAGTTGTGTAGATTATGTCCACTTTTTATTATATTTTGTACTCACCTGTAAACTTCCGTAGTTTTCCACCACATAGGTACACCAATCACAATAACCACGGTCATAAATGCAATTGTTGCATACAAGCGGAACTTGTCTGAAATTCAATAAAAATAAAATTTCAATAAAAAATAATCTACGTATATAAAATAAAGTTGTGTTAGTTACTACACTTATAACTTAAGAACAGCTGGGCTGATTTTTACGATTCATACAAATTCGGAATTGTCTCCTGTCCGAAAAGGATAATATACATCTATCGCGTAAAATGTGATAAATTAACATTTTCATTTTGTCTTTTGAAATGTACAATAGTAATGTTTTATTTTGAATGATTTTTTTCCATTTTGACTTATTTTTTTCTAATGTACATTTGTAGTGTTTTTTATATTTTATTTTTAAATTCGAATATTAACACCAATTTAATTAATTGACTTGATTTCTTGAGAACTGAAATTGATGGCGGGTTACATGGAAGTGTAGTACCGAATTATGTGGTGGAGAAACAAAATAATTTAACGCGGTCACACCAAAGTTAAAAGATAATTACTTTTTCAAAATCGCTAAAAAATCACGAAAAAGAGATCTCATTGCAAAAATTCTCAAATCGGGAAAAAATCGAAAAAAAAAATTTCAATGGAATCGAATTTTAAAATAATAGTCCATTCTATTGATAAACTTTGCAAGGATCTTTAAACATTTGCTGTAAAAAATCAACGAAAAAGTTGAAGATTTTATCAATTTGTTATTCTTTTTTTGTCAATATTTTTCAATTTGTATTATCATATTGAATTCAGTAGATTTTTTGTGAACAAAATAAAGAATAGTTTTTCACTATATACAATTTTTCAACAAAAAAATGAAATAAGTGCGAAATAGGATATTAACTGACATCTATCTTTCAACTCCAGGGCCTACAACGTGGTTCAGCTGGAAGATGCGAACACATTTAAACAAACAAAAATTACCGAAAAAGCCTAATGGGGCTTATTTCAAAGAGTGGAAATACTTCTTTCATGTGACAATAATCCGTCCAATGAGAGCTCAAAATGCAAAATTCTTTGGGAGTACAATCAGTAAAATACCAAATATAAAGGGTGCAAAATAGTGAGCGAGTGGGACTTTTAGTAAGAAAAGGATTTCTATCCTTCCAGAAATTCTTCTCAAACATTCAAGATACCTTAAAATGCTTTTGCAGGTCATGATATCGATCATAACTCACGGATAAGGGTACAACCCGATTTCTTATTTATATAACCATCGTATGATTTAAGCTATTTTTGGAGTCTTTGTCACTTTTTTCATTTTTGGCCCTTATTTGGTATCTTTGTTTTTTAGGGGGGTAGAGAACCTCTTCGCATAAAATTTGACATTTTCAGAGTAGGGCCCACATTGGTCTTGACCACATTAATCAATTGATTTGGCTAAAAAATTGTATTTATGCTACCCTGGGGCAGGGAACTTTCATACAGATAATTGCCACATAGGAATTTATTTAAGTAAAGTGCCCACATTGGAGTATCCCAAGTCCACTTTCACATCTAATGTGTGGTCAGAAAAGAAAATTTTGTATTCTATTGAATTTGTAACCCCCAAGAGAATATTGGTTGGGAATAGATTTCGGATGTACATCTATATGAAAGAAATTGTGGAAACATGAACAAATTACAAATATAAGAAAGTAGCGCGGGACCGCATTGAATTATACTATGAGAAAAATATGGACTTTATGGGGTCTCCAACTTACAATTTAAAATTCCCATCTTACGGTAATAGGTGCAAAATAGTAATTATATTTGACTATTCTGAAATCATTCTGCCCTCAATTATGAGGTGGATGAAACTATTTTTACTTATTTAAATCACGCGAAATTTTTTTTCAGTTTGACATGTTATGTTGTTCTGCTATATTTTTTTATTTGGCCTCTATTTGTCATCTTGGAATATAAGGGGTATAAAAAAGTTTTCAATGTAGGTCGATGTTTCGGAGTAGTGCCCATATATAGGTACCTCCTGATTTTACCATATTTCAAAGGATTTGGCTAAAAATGTGTATTTGGGGGGTGGAAATCTTACACAAAGATTTCAACATATCTACAAATTTTAGAATTTTCTCCATGTATTAGTACCCCCTCCAGCCCACCTTTTGGCGGACAAACAGACCGACATGGTTAGGGAGACTTATGAGGACTCTAATGCACAATCTATGTTGTTAATGGGTTTAAAAAAGTAATTAACTTTGACTATTCTTAAATCATTCAGCCCTCAAATATGAGGTGTACAAAATACAGTAAATTCCAAATTACTGCTCTGGAAAATTTTTTTGACTGGAAAATTTTGCTACGATTCTTACCATACTAAAAATTAATTTGATCCCTTACATTGGGGATAAGATTTATATTTACTTTTTAATAGAATTGTATATCACATCAACACATTTGAAGCCCACGGCTTAAATATGGGTACAAGTATTTTAAAACACTTTTAATCGACCAGTACGTGAGCTCTTATATCAGTCATATCTGTGAGTAATTATGCTTTGACAAATATGCATAATAGACAAAAACTACGGGCCGGTAACGCGGACTGGACCAGCTAGTTTATTATAAAAACGAACTCATGACCTAAGATAGCTTGGATAGTGTATCGATATTATGCGAGTTGAAATTTACTTTTTATTTTGAAGAAATATCTTATTTAGAAAACGGAATAAAGGTAGCTTATTTCTCATTCACTTTCCTTCTAATCTACAAAATTATAATAACTTTTTTCTGTAATATCGGCTATATATCCCTGATATAAGAAAATTAAGTCACTTAATGCAAATTAGTACAAATGAATAACAGAAAATCCTTTTCTTTTTTTTAATATTCTTTATTCAAAAACATTGTTGGTTGTTGGTTCTTTTTCTATACAATTTGTGTGTATACAATAAAGATGCTAAACATTTGTGTGTTAACAAACATGTATGTATGTATGCATGTTGCTCGCTCTATATAAAAAATAGAACATCTAATAAATTTCGTTCAAAATAAAAACATTAGGAAATCACTTAAATGACTCAAGTCGTTCATTTCAATGAATGAAAAACTCTATCCGTATAAAACAGGCACTTCTCTCCGAGAAGATCAAAATAAATCATAAATTTTTGGGTGGTACAGTTCGCTGCTTTTTCATTCCTTATAACTGCAGGATATAACAAAAACTGGTCCATTTTCCAATGGTGTATTACGTGATACATATTTTGTAAATTTCGTTGTACCCTCACAACGATAGACAATGTTAAGGGCATTATCGACGGGTGTGATGGTTAACAGCACCGATTCGTCGTCATCATCAAAACCTTCGCCTTCCAGAGAATCAGTATCGCTAACATCGTCACCACCACCTGTTTGTTTTAGTCCTTGTCCTGTGCCTGCTTGTTCTGTGTCTGGAGACAAATATGTGATAATTGCTGCTCCCTCGGACGCGTTGAGGTAATAAATTAAGTCTAGGGTATTATCTTCACAAATAGCACCATCTCCCAAAACGGTGTAGTCACCATGTGACCATCTTTGGATTTCTAAGGTAAATTGAGGATTTGCGGCATTCGGCCCAGACAAATCCAAGTCTGTGTAGTCCCGTAGAAGGCTAAACATTTCAGTGTTTGAAAATAGCTCAATTATTTGTGTTAGAGTTTTGGTAGCTGTTTTCAAATCGAGAACTTCAAAATTTTGTACATTTGCCGGCCCTTGTCGTGACCATTTAAGCTTATCGTCGTTGAGTAATTCTTTTAAGGCCTCTTCAAATATTTCCCTGCGGAAAAATTCATATAAGCAAATTTCTGAATTGTCTTCTATTCTCTTTTGAATACTGCGTTTAGTTGTGGGCTTTAGGTAGACCTCATTCAACAGAAGGTCTACGGAAGATTGAGGATTCACAGATATGGGAGGTTTAAATTGTAGTTTCGCAAAAGGTCTTATAGCATCGGCAATAAGATCCTCATTGGAGGCACCATGGAACCAGCCATTTATTGTTAAGCGAGGATAATCGAAGGTAGTGACTTCTCCGACTTGATGGAACGACTTTGAACCGACTTTAAAGAAGGCAAATTGATTGTTTTTCGGTGATATTTTTCTTTGTACTGGAAATCGTGGCAGGCATTTGTCGTCACTGGCAAAAATCTCCAAACAACCTCCTTGCTCCTGGTTCCACAGTTCATTCTCCTCCCAGGGCGAGAGGTAGTAAATGAAGGCAATTTGACGATCCTTCAGCAAGTCATCATGTACCAAAAGATAATCACCGCAGGTATACATAGAGCATGATGCAGACACATAATCTAGCTTTAAATTTGTCAATTTTTCCAACCATGGTCTAACTGACCGACGAAGCATTTGCAGAAAGTTGGCCAGGAATTTACACTCAATCATATTTGACAAATCAGTACTTTGATAAAATTCATACAGATCCATTTGTTTTCTTGACCAATGAACTTTTTTCACCATCTCATCCACTAATAACTTGCAGCTGTCTGTGTTGTTTAACATATTGGGAAGCAGGCATATTTGAAAGGGATTAGTGTATAATTCAACGCCGGTCGTTTCGTCTTTGTAGTCTTTACTTTGTTCAGAAAACCATTGTTTCTGCAACTGCAATGCATACTCCTCGGATGTGTAGCAATTACTCAACGACAAATCTATGGTTTGTGGCCCATTCTTTTCCTGGCGTTTGAGGATTTTGGCCTGAGGTGGTTCACTCAAATGACCATTGGCGACATCTGGAAAATAAGGAAACAATGAATATAATTTCATTATTAAAAAACATGAACAGCATACCTTATTTGTTAATCATAATTATCACGTTAAATTCATTTGTTTTTTTTTTCTTTGTTATTAAGGAAACACACTTTAACTTGATGGAGATAAGTAACTCCTTTAATACAAAACACGTTGTTATAAAAAAATCTTTAGGATTTTTAATGTCTCAAAAACAAGCCCATCCTTCTTTTTTTATCTTATCTACTACATAATGTTTAATATCTGGCCAAAGACTAATCTTAAAGGAATACACATGTGCATCTCACTCACCTTCGGCTGCATCTTCCTTGTTGTGCTCCAGCAGCTTTTCTTCACTTTTGCTTGTATCCATTCTTACAAAGAGTGTACAATTTTAATTAAATATACAATTTAATTTTCAATTTATTGTATTTTTCTCTTGCAAGGTAAGGTAAGTAAAGTTTCTTTAATGAGTCTTCTTCTTCTTTTCGATGGTACATTTAAATACACGGTGAACGGTTAACATGAATTGAGACTGTTAGAACTATTGTTGTCTTATTCTAACTCACAATTAAAGTGTATAATATGCATTATATGCTACATGCGGACTGTTAAATCATTACACAAAATGTAAACAATAAATTAAGCAAGCAATATAAGGCTTGCTCCCGGCCCCAGTCGGCCCAATATGAATTATTTGCTTTACTCAAGGCAGACAACAAAGCCGGATGATTGTTCCAGTCCCCGCTACACATGCAGTTTTTGACTATCGGCGACGACAAGCGGCTTTTGTGCCGACTGGCGGCTAAAAATTCGGAGAAGAGAATTAAAAAAATATATATTTTTTTATTTGTCGAAAAAATTAAGGAAGTCTATTGGAAGTAATTGAGGGAGACAAATGTTACTTTACATCCGTCCTTTTTCCCCAATAGTTCTTGTTATAAATTAACTGGTTCTTTTGAATAAAAATGGAATGTCGTGGAGCATAGAAACAAGGAAATGTGCTAAATAAATTATAAAATAATGGTGCATCTGTGCCGCACAAATTGAAAATCCTTCCAAACGCTATACGAATGGAGCGATAAAGAAAAAGGCCGCTGAAAAATTGTGCAAAACAAATCAATGGACGGGTTTGTTTACGAATGAGTGTGATGTATAATGCCGGGTGCTTTGTTTACGCACGTCGCGTGCAACCCATTCAGCTGGGAAAAAGTAGGGATCGCATAGTTACACTAGTGTTGTTATTGTTTATCGATAACAGAAGGCATTTGATTTTTCAATATAACTTATTTTCAAGAAAACCACAAATGTAATATATATATTGTACATTATATTTATTATTTTCAATTAATACAGTAACCTAGCTTACAGGGTAAAGGTGAGGGTACATAAGCATCTTGGCATAGTGGCTAGGCATAAGGTGTGTCTGGTTACTTTCCCTGCAGGAATTGTCCAGCAACATCTTTCTGAGAGAGTAAGGTAGTTTTATTCTCTTTTGCAAGGAAATTGCGAAAAGTAAACAGACGGTATTCCTGCACAAGCTTGCAACTAATCAGCTGATTTGTCAAAACAAACCAATTTGTACCCCTTTAAAAGAATTAAACGAAAGGAACCACAACCAATTTCACATGTTTTATAAATAAAAAGGAAATTGGCAATAAAATAAAAATATGAGTAATAAAAGGAAGATAGATTTGATGTGTTCCGCGGAATCCTTTAAACCTGTTTCTAATGGCATTTGTCTAAAAATGTTGGAAATAGTCTTTTATTTTCTTATTACATATTAATATTTATGTTTTTCACATTTTGTAAAGTTGTTCTCCAAAAACAATTAGTTTTGTTAATTCCAAAACAATATTTTCAAATTAAAATCACAAAAAGAAATAAGTAAACAATAGAAAACATCTGATTGAATGTCGATGAATGAGAAGAAGAAGAGTTGCAAGAGATTGCTGGAAGAAATTTTTCCAGCAAGAATTTGCAAACTCTCACTGAAAGAACTGTCAAAATTTCTCTCTCCAACCGCTCTCTTTTGCAGAACTTTTGGGTTAACAGACGACTTCCAGTAACAATTTGTAACAATTGTTACAAATTTTAGGGTAACCGGACACACCTATATTAATGTCAAATTATAACGAAAACAACGGCAGGTTTCAAAGTCTTCAAGCCGGTTATGTGCCCTCATTGAATTTTGCATTGTCTCGGCCATTATAGGTCGATATTTGACAAATCAATTAGATAAGTTATAACAAAGCTACCCCCTAAATATAATTTTTATACCCTCCACCTTGGAATGGAGGGTATATAAACTTTGTTATTCCGTTTGTAACATCCCTAAATATTCGTCGTAGATCCCATAACGATTTAACGATGTTCGTATATCTGTTGAAATCACGATACAGCCCAGATTATTTGACGTAGAGCTTCAAAATTTGTGTCTAAGATGGTCGGTATTGAAAATGAGATATATCGGTCCACGTAACGATACCTCCCGATTTTTGGTATTTTGATGATTTTTGCCACATTTTTTCACGGATTTGTCTAAAAATTGGTATTTGTTGGTCTTAACGGGTTCTGGCTGCAGTGGTGAAACATTGTATGTGTAGATCTACGTTTTGGTATAGCTCCGATATAACGGTACCTCCAGATATTCGGTATTTTGATGATTTTTGCCACATTTTTTAACGGATTTTTCTGAAAATTTGTATTTGTAGGTCATAATGGGTCCTAGTTCGTGTGGTGAAATATTGCATGTAGGGGTCCAGGCTTTGTTCTCCATATAACGGTACCTCCCGATTTTTGGTATTTTGATGATTTTTGTCACATTTTCCCACGAATATGTCTTAAAAATGCGTATTTGTGGGTCATAATGGGTTCTAATGTTTCCTTTACCCTAAGGTGGAGGGTTTTGAAAGTTCGGCCCGGCCGAACTTAATGTTTTTTACTTGTTTTCTTTAATTTATTGATTCAAAACAATCTTAAAAATATAAAGTTTTTTAAAATCTCAATAATGCTGAGTTTTCCCCTTTTCCCAGTGACTGAAGCAGGGCCATTAACTCAGACACTGAAGAAGGTTTATTTAAGTAAATTGAGTAAAACATAAACAAGTAACGATTGTCTAACTGCGATTCATCAAATATTCCTAAACCCTCGGCAATTTTAACTTACCGATTGTCTTCCAATGAATACGATAAAAAATTCAAATATTATAAAAATTAATTATTATTCACTTTTATTGTTATTTGGTACATTTGGCTGCATAAAGGCACTATACGTTACTGTGGATTAATTCCGACATACAAAGAGGATGCAAAAATAATACATTCATATATAATGGCATCGAGACTAGTAAGTAATAATATATATATTGCAAATGAAAATTAATACACACATAATAATAGCTATAGCAGTTAATAAAGATAATTTTGATAATTTTCTTGCTGAATTCTATCAAATAAATAAAAAAAGAATACATTAGAACAATACATTTAAACAAAGACGATTTCTTCTTTTAGAATAATACGAGTTATTTTTTTAGATTTGTTTTCAATCAATGGCCTCTAAGGGGATTTTGGTTTAAAGACATTTTGTACTGGTGTCGTCCATCATTATCGTCGTAATTTAGCCACACTGTAAACACTTCTTGTTTGTTTGGTTAGAAGGAACTTCATTCGGACGTTAACAGAAGCCTCAATTATAATTAATTTGTGATTATTTTAATATATAAATACGTTGTTGATTAGAATGTGTTTATGACAATAAGTTTTCATATAAATTTTAATAAGTTTTTGGGTTTAAATATTGTCCACAATATCGCAATAACTTATACGTTTATTTTCTTCCTCAACCGTTGTTAATTCCTCAGTTGTATTATTGGCAAGGGATTCTTCCTGATTAATGAGTGACAATTGATATGCCACCTCAAAGGCTTGTCCCAGTGTTAGAATTATTTCGGTGGCCAAGTCCTGTAACAGAAGAAAAAATGTAATTTATTTCTTTTTCATTTTTTTTAATAAAATTAAAACTTACCAAACTATCAACCATAAAGACATGACAATAATGAGTGTCCTTTTCCCTTGTTATGTAGGCAAAATATCTCAAATCATCCGTATCCTGGCTAACACAATTAATGTTCTCGATATCGTGGACACTTATGGTACTCTGCAAAAGTAAAACAAATATTTTTTTGGATAAAAAAAAAATGTTTCAAATTACCAATTTGTAGCTAGCTTTTACCTTATTTTCAGTGTCGATAAATCTAACACCAGCATGTGAAAGAGCTATACCAACTTTCAGACGTGTCTGTGCATTTGTTTCCTTTAGAATACGTGTTGAACAGTTGATATCTTCTATCAAACTGCCATCTTGGCCTTTGTACTCTATGGGGGCAGGTGTCTCTTCACGTTTCAGCTTTTGTATAGATTTTCTAGTCGATACGGTACCATGTAACTCCCTTATGACTGTGGAACCCAAGTACTAAATTAAAAAATTAAGAAAGAAAAAAAAACTATTTCAGTTACCATTTGTTAATGAATATTTAAAATTTACTCACATAAACATCGTAGAGAACATAGCCATATATCAAAGTATTTGCCGAATGGCACCAATTTGGATTGACATCTTCTTGTTCGGGTGAAATCAATAACAATTCCGCCGGTTTCCTTATGGTCAAAGTCTTTTTGCGCAATGTATTTGAGAGATAATTACATTCATCACTTATGGCATCTAAGGTGGTGTTTGTTGTTTCATTATTGGCAGCGGAAACCTCATTGCCAATACTTTCAAATATTGTATTTATTTCATCCCACACCTTTGAGGCATCAAAATCAAATTCACTTTCTTTGGCAGTGGCAGTTACAACAGGTGGTGGTGTTTTTATTTCATTTGACGCTACACCATTTTCTAGGGAATTTTCTTCATTGCCTGTGGGCGTTGGAAGTTGCATAGAAGATCTTTTTGTTGACATTGGTCGGACCGATTTAACCAAACTTGGTGATCTCAGCCCACTTGGTAACTCTTCAATTGCCTGATTTTTGTTTCCGGTTTCCTGAGGCGCGTCACTGGCTAAATTCAATGAAGAGCCCTTAAATAAACCGGCAAAGGGTACATCACCAACAAACTCCTCAACACATTCGGATACCCGTGAACTGCTAATTGAATCAAATTGCTCTTCTTCTGGTGGCTCCATTTGTTCTTCCCATATAAATGATTTGAGATTATTGTAAAATTGTGAATTGCGGTTTTGCAGTTGTAAGGATTTGCGTTTCCAACTTTTGTCCGGTGGTGGTTTAACAAATTCAAATATCGTTGTTTCGGCCTGAAAAGCAGTAGGTGGAGGATAATCTGGGGTTGGGGAGTGTACCGAGCGGTCTTGGCTTTGTCGTCGAGAATCGTTGTTGTTGTTATTTGTATCGAAATTATTGTTGGTCGCTGTGGGCGTCTTTGGTTGAATATCACTGGAATTTTGTAAAAACAAAAGAAGGACAATTTTTTTAAGAAATATTCACTTGCTATGTTGGCCACAAATACAATACCATTATTAAAAATCTTCTTGGGAAACAGGAAAATATATACATATTTGTTAATATCCGGTTGTTTACTTAACAAGACTGAAACTTGTGTTCTCTAACTACAATGAATAAACTACTATATCACAACTTTTTAATGCATTGTTTGTTAACATGCTTCTGCTTAAAAATATATATTTTTTTCAATATAAAAATTATTTTAAATAAATTTTGTTATCACTGACTAATACAAAGAGAGGCGTTGTTTTATGTCTACAGCTGCCACAAAAATGTGTGTGTTAGATTCATAAATGGCGCACGTGCTATCCTGTGCGCCATATCCTTTTGTTCGTGGCAAACGAAAACAATGATGCCAGATCGATGTATCCTGTTTGTGGGTGTAATTGTACTATCAATTGTTATAATAGATAGTGTATCTATGTATTGTTCTGCGTTCAGGTAGATATGTTTTGTAATAAATGTGATCAAAATATTTGGAAATTCCAAGACAGTTTCTACATGTGAGAAGATATGGTTTAACCTTAATACTCTTTTTGTTTTGTAAATTACTATTGGAAAATAATTATCAAACACTTAAAAATAGAGAAATATGAAATGAAATTAAATCTAGACTAGATCACTCACACTTAATTATTAATTTTAATACCCTCTACCATAGTATGGTAGGGTATAGTGAATTTGTCATTCCGTTTGTAACATCTCGAAGTATTCATTTTAGACCCCATGGAGTACATATATTCTCCACTCATTAACAAACGTTGTTTTTATAAAAAAACAACAATTATGGGATAAAGCCTAACTATTTTGCAATAAAAACATAATTTGGAACGAATTTGGCAATTTTCAAAATAAATAAAATCCGTTAAAAATGCTGTTAAAATCTTAAAAAATGTAGCCGAATGTAGCCGTTATATTAAAATCATCAAAATACCGAATATAGGGAGGTACTATTATATGGGGGCTATATTAAAACGTGGATCTGCAGAGACAATTTCCTGTCATAGGCTGTAGTATTCATTACGAACTTCAAATACCAAATTTGAAACCATTCCGGTGAATAATGTCTCTTAAAACATCAAAATACTGAATATCTAGAGGTACCGTCATATAAGGCTATACGAAGACGTGGACCTGCAGAGACAATCTCCGGCCATATGCTGTAGTATCTATTACGAACTTCAAATACCAAATTTGAAACAATTCCGGTGAATAATGTCGCTAAAATCATCAAAATACCGAATATTGGGAGTTACCGTTATATGGGGGCTATACCAGAACGTGGACCTACATGACCCATATTCAATACCAAAAGTCCTGCAGACATAATATACATACATGCGTAATATTTTATCAATCTATTAAATTTCGTTCGGAAGATAGAGTGATTTCCACTGACGGACATACATTGCCAAATCGACATAGAATTTTATGCTGATCAAAAATATATATACTTTATGGGCGATACCTGACGATATCTAAGGAGATGGGAGATACTTCCTGTCAAAGCCTTTGTCAACAATGCTACTAAAAGCCGTTAAGGCATGGTTCGTGGAGAGACCTATAGATCCTCGTTATCGTATTTTACATTATTATTACCATTTCGTCCACACCATCGTAACAAGGCGGAATATGATGTGACGAAGTAATTTTAACATTCCGCACTCGAGATGAACATAATCAGATCACCTCTTTAGATGACCAAACGCGATACCCCTGAAAGCCCAACGCTATTACGACGCAATGGAAAAATATTCAGTCCTGCCAGAATGCCGCGCTTAGAACCGCAACAGGGTTCCTCCTCATGACACCTGTCGACCATTTACATGAGAAGGCGAAGGTCTTATCTGTGCGAAAGTATAACAAAATGCTGTCAATGCAATACCTGCTTTGGTGTTACCGACAGAGCCATCCGAATCGACATCTGGTGGATAGGCAACCTCCGCCTAGGCACGTAGGGAAAGACCTTCATGATCTAGAGAGAGAGAGATACAAAGGTATAAGAGAGAGCCTCTAGATCAAGAGGCTCAACAAGCGGGACTAGTACTCACTCTAACGCGGTCTCAGAAGTTATGGAAGGATATAGAGTGAATACTGTGTTAAGAGACCATTCCCCTCCCATCGCATTAATTCCTATTGGGCCTGGATCGACAGCGATGGGCAGAACATCGGCCCTGCTTGTGGCACAGGACCACATGACACGCTGCACCTTTTTCGCTGTCTAGCCAAACCTACTCACCTAAATCCAGTCCCGCACAAGTTGCATCCTTTTTGAGACTGGACTTAGAGGCAGAACCCGATTGAGAAGAGTCAGATCGACAACAACTCCTATATGTTCTTACTTAATTTTAGGAAGATAAAAATACTGAATGACAATTTACCAAGCCCTATATAAGGTCGAATCAAGGCCTATATAAGGTCTAACAAGAAGACTACTTTTGACAATAAATATAGTAATGTTTACACTATTGTAACTCCACTTTCTTTGAATTTCAAATCACAAATATGTATTTTTACAACAAACTTATTGGTCAGATGGGCTTACTTTCCGAACTTATCTGTGCCTTGGGTAGTAATAACCTAATGTAACCCAACATAAGATTTACATAATATTAATGTTACTTTACTGTCAAATACGTCGCTTTTAATTTTGAGCGAATTTTATAAGGGTTGTATCTATCTGATAAGTTCAAAGAAAAGGTTTTCTGAAGAAATCAACATATCCAAACATCATGCAAATATATATACAAAATTGATAAAAAAAGAATTCCGACATTATAAATAGAAACGATAATCATGATTTTATTATAATAATCGACGTGAAATTTATGTTAGTAATATTTATGTATTTATCAGATCCAGAGATAGAAACTACATAAATAACTATATAAAACATTCAAAAGCATTTAGTATACCATTTTGTTAAGATACAATAATATCCCAATTAAACTTACTTATTGTTACAATCAGCTCCATCTTCTTCTTGTTCTTGTCGAAGTACCTGTCGTCGATTGTTTTGTGCATTATCCATTATAGCACTGATATTTGCATAATCACAATATTCTAAATTTCTTCTAGGACTTGGTAAGGGAGTTTGCACTTGAGACATTGCTGTAGCTTTGGGTGTTCGTGGTGTATTGCATGCACTTCCGGTCGGCAATGTCATTTCTACATATTCATCTACACAATGATATTGTGTGGAATTTAAATTGGATACATTCTCTTCCTCTATTCAAACCAAAAGCAATGCAATATTTCAGTACAAAATTTATAAAATAATCTCTTTGTAGGTTACCTACTTTTTGCATTCGTTTCTAATTTGGGAAATTTTCTTTCTGTATTCGTACCCAGACGTCTATTTAGAAGATTTGTTGCATAAACTGGCTTGTATTCTAGCAGGGTTTCTGGTGTTGAACGATTGCTCTTTGGCAGAGTTGATTTGGGATTCAATATCGGTTCCATTGGTGTATAACGATCGATGGATATTTGACGATCCAAAGAACTTACAAAGAAAAATTAAGTGTTATACACTTCATGTAACCATTTGAGATAAGACAATTTTTACAAATATTAGACACAGACACATGAAGAAAGTTTTGTGGTTTATATTTTTAGAACTTATATATGCATTTTGGAAAGAAAATGTTTTGGACAGAAACAGAGCATGTAGTAAAAATATTTATGAAAATCTTAAGACACATGAAATCATGAGCACTTGAATAAAATTGTTTTAAAAAATTCACCTCGACAGATGTGTAAGAAGATTAAAAAGGTTTCTTCTACAAATATGTCGAGGAAGATCTAAAAAATCAGTCGAAGAAACTGAAAGATTAATATCAATCAAATTTTGAATATTAAAAGACAGAAATCTACCACACAAGTCTTGCTCTCTAATATTTAATTTTCCTAGTAGTTGTAAAGCCAAATATCAGATTTTATCTTTAAAAAAATTTAGTTTGTTTTTCTAAAACTAGAGTAATAGGGTAAGTGTACCAGTAGTCGGCACTTTCAGGATTTTCGATTTTTCAATCTTTCAACATTCTGATTGAAATCTTTCAATTGCAGAAAAATAAAGTTGTTCAGATTCCAAATTTTGTTTAGTTTTCGAAATAATAAACAAACATTTAATTTGTTTTGTAAAATTTGCAATTTTACTAAAATAGTAGTTTTTTTGCCAGTAGTCGTTACCATTTTCCAATGCTCGTCATGTCTATTTGCCAGTATTCGGCATATGGCATTTCAGTAAAAAAAAAATATTATTTTGTATATTTTTTATTTCAAATTATATAAAACAATGCTATATTACTAATTCACAGTTTAATCCAGAATCCAGTTTTTAAATAGTGTTTTATTTAATTATCATTCTAAACCAAATATAGTTAAAAAATCAAGAATAGTATGGTTACCATCGGTAACGTATGGATTTTCAATTAAAAAAATGAGATTAAATAAAAAAAGAAAAAAGAGAGCAGAGAACACCGTTTCAATTATTTCATTATTTGGTCAATTCTATTCTTAGTTATTTAAGTTTAAATTTCAAAACTGCCGACTAATGGGACATGCCAAACTAGGCACACTTCCACAACTCAGACTAGCTATTGGATAGTGGATTTATAAAAAATGCACCAAATTTGAAAAAAACTTCTGAATATTTCAAAAATAAAGAATGGTATTTTTATAAACAAATACAGGATGAGATGAAAAAACTGCAACCAACTTCAGACTGCTGTCATTTCCAAGCCACTCGTCCGACAGCTGTTAAAATTATTCCAGTGACAGCTCATTAAATTGTTTACAAGCGTACAAAAGCTTTTTTGTGAGAATTTTCCAGAAAAAAAGTTATTCGTGATGGAATTCAAGATTTCTTTATATTTGGCTGGAAAATCACAAGTGGCTATCGTTAGAGGACTCCAGTATTTAAATGTGAATAAATCTTTTATGTCTCGTACCATCGCTCGTTACCGTGATACTGGTAGCCTGGTAGCGTAAGCCAACGTCAAGGAAGTGGACGGAAGAAAACAGCAACATCAGCAGAAATCAAAAAGTAAAGAAGCGACTTGATCGAAACCCGCGTCGCAGTGGACGAAAAATGGCACGGGAGCTGAACATACCGCAATGCTCTATTCGACAAATATTAAAAAAATAAGCTCGGGGTAAAGCCATTAAAATTCCAAAACGTGCAAGAACTTACAACGCAACAGAAAGAAAATAGACTCAAAATAGCTAAAAAGTTGCTTCGCTTGGCTGTACATGGTGAACTGCCGAATTTGGTTTTCTCCGATGATGATCGTGTTTACTTGCCAAAGAGGTCAGCTGAAAGTGTGCACCTTCGATTGGCCACCAGAACTCAATCGCCGGCCATGGTCAATCTCCAATCGTATTAATCGACCGTGGCATCAGAATAAATGCCGAATATTATCGCGAAAATATTCTGGAGGGTCTATTAAAGCCTTGGGCACGCAAACATTTTGGCCGCAGACATTGGCAATTCCAATAGGACTCAGCGCCATCGCACTCAGCACGCGCCACCCAAGAATGGTTAAAAAATGAGGTTTCTCGCTTAATTTCCAGCGCACAATGACCACCAAAATCTTCTGATAAAAATCAGTTGGACTATTGTGACGGTTTTATTGGCCGTTTGAAGGCCATTTTGCCAATTCGTGTCAAAGGTGACCAATCCGAACAAATCTAAACTTATTCTTAAATTTGATGCTTTTTCCGACATTTTTTTTTTTTTTTCATTCAATAAAATTTAAAAAAAAAAATGTAAAAATTATGGCACTTGACTTTGTTGCAGTTTTTTTTATCTCACCTAGTATATTGGAAATTGAGATTTTATCCTTTTGTGACTTATAGTAAAATGTGATAATGAGTATTTTTTTTCCTTCGCGTTGTCTTTCTAAGAGGATGCGGTTTAGGCGAATTTTACATATATTTAGGTGATGGTCGGTTTTAACCCTAAAACTGTTTTTTATATTTTGAATACGTTTTTGACCTATCCCATTGGATTGGATTGGACTGGATTAATAATAGGAATAATCCTCGTCTTGTTACCCATAATATTGTCAAAAATACAATAATCCAAAAATGCATATCTTCCAATGAATTTTTATTCGAACTTTTCAAAAAAAAAAAAAGAAAAAAAAATGTGAAAGAGGGGATAAATTGGCCCTCTGATTTTAAAAAACCAGCACACGTATCTTCTGTTTTTAGCTCAACTTCCTGTAATTTATTTTTTGTTGCACAGTTTTATTTAAAACCATTTACGTTTTTTCGTTGAAAATGTCGGCCTCAGTAACTATTGGTGTAAATGCATTTTTCACAATGTATTTGTAATTAATATACCACGGCTTATAATCTAACATGGAGATCTGATAACATTTAAGGTTCTCAATCCCAGACAAATAAATATCATTCTACTGCATAAATTAAGTAATTTTTAAATTCTTCTGCTTGAATAAGCTTAATTAGCTTCTTACGATGAAAATTTAAACATAAAGTATAGTTATCACTATTCTCAGAGAAGTACACTGAAACTAGTCAATTTATAATACCCAATACTTTGTAAATAGATGCTTAATTTTAATATGTGACACATAAAGCAAATTAGTACAAATGACTGTTTACATCGTCGTATAATGTCTAAAAATGTATGTAGATGTATTTAAAAAATAACAAATTATTATTACATGAATAAATATAAAAAAATATCACAACAATGTTAGTGTATAATTTGTAAATAATGCAATATGAGATCACCATCAGATTAATATTTAAAACATTTAAATTAACAACATGTTTTGCATATCCAGGGTGGAATAGACAAACTTTTTGGTTTTCACATAAGCAATAATATCCATAAGAATTGTTGACAATAAATACTAGGAATTGGTGCATTGTGTTTGTATCGTGGATGCATGGATGGATGGTGGTGGTGTTGGTTGTGGTTGCTAGAGGTGCATAACACAGATGATATGGTGCAAACATGAAGATGGATATAGAAAAGTAATGGCATTAGGAGCGTAGTAAACACGCACACACAAAAAGAAAACACATAAATAACATTATAATGGGACAACTTGATAAGTCATTCTTACTTCATTGTCATTGAGCGATTTTCCACAAAGTGCTGATGATGATGATTATTCTGTTGTTGCTGTTGTTCCATGACGTAGTTCTGCTCAGCTTTCGACTCATCTTCATATCTTGACATTGCTGTGTTGTCATTTACATCTTTAATTGGTATGAAATGAGAATTATTTTCCATTCTACAGCTCTCCTGGCAAAAATCTGCAATTTCATAAGAAATGTACATAATTAATGAGTCATCTACACAATAATAAAACAATGCTATCAGAACTTTTAAACATTTTGCCAGCAACAGGTCACTGAACGTTCTAATGTATGGCAGCAAATTACTGGATTTTGCCATCGCTGCCGCTACGTATACCTCCTACACACTTGACCACTAATAAAAATGCAGGCAGAATGTGTGTGATGTTCTATCTGTTCATAGTCAAAAAGTTGGTCATGTAAACAGCGGCTGGACAAACAACAAACGATTTGTGTACATTCTTAAGTATGTCTAGAGATTATTTGAGTATGATGAGAAAATATAATAATGTAATTGTTTTTAAAAGACAACGCAATCTAAGTTGCAATAAACACTTAAATGAGTTGTTTTACTAGAATACAAAGCAAATTTGGACCTTAAATTTAAATTTAAAAACATTGCGTGTGAAATGATAGGAATGTACTTTTTAACGTACCAAACTTAAAGAACTCTGAGAGAAATAACAATAAATCAAAACCAATAAGGAAAAGTCAAAAGTCGGGCGGGCCGACCATATGATACCCTACACATATTTAGTAGAGCTCCCGTAGCATAATAATTTATTTAAAGTACGTCATATCAACTATCAACTTTTGGCTTTAGAGTAGTTATAGTTTGGTTCCAGAGGGAACTAATATATAGGATGCATATCTAATTTTCAACCGATTTTCTCCAAATTTGATGTACTTGCTTCTAGACTGAATTCGGTCGGATGTACCAAAATTCAGGTCATTAGGACTGATATTGGGGCACAATTTAGCCGAAATCGGTTGAAGGTATATATGGCAGCTATATTCAAATCTGATCCAATCTTAATAAAGAGGTATTTCCGATCTCTATATGATATCAGGCACCAAATATCATTGTTGTGGAATGGATATTGAGAATATGAGAGACTTAACCAAATCGGATGTAACATATATATGGGATCAATAGTTATATCTGAAACGATTTTCACCAAAATTTGGTGTACTTGCTTCTAGACTGAATTCGTCGGAGGTACCAAAATTCGGGTCATTGGGACTGATATTGGGCATTTGGCGCACAATTAACCCGAAATCGGTTGAAGTTATATATGGGAGCTACATCCAAATCTGAACCGATTTTGATAAAGTTTGGCAGAGGTATTTCTGGGATGTATCTGACATTTGGTACCAAATACCTTTGCACATTACGCACGTGAGTGACTAGAAACTCCAAATCGGATGAAACATATATATGGGAGCTATAGCTATATCTGATGTACTTGCTTCTAGACTGAATTCATTTGGATGTGCCAAAACTCAGGTCATTTGAACTTATATTGGCTATTTGATGCACAATTAAACCGAAATCAGTTAAAGATATATTGGAGCTATATCTAAATCTGATCCGATTATCACCAATTTCAATAAGGTTTGCCCTTGGGCCAAACAAATATTGTTTACAAAATTTCATCTCAATCGGATAATAAATGCGACCTGCATTTTGTTTACAAGAATACATGGACGGACTGACATGCAAAAATCGACTCCGAAAGTAATTGTGTGAATGTGTTGAATTCCTGGCATTTAGATACATACATTGTCGAATATTTTGAATTTCTATGATGTCGTTTAGAGGTTGTTTTTAAGAATATTTTGAAAAAAAGACCAAAAAGACCCTTACTTTGATAAACTTGAGGGCTAGCATTTTTTACTAAAACAATTCTCGTATTGTTATATGTAATATTGCTGAAAACAGTATATGGCTAAAAAGTAAGGACTCCAAGGAATCTTTATCCGATAATTTAAAAAAATGGAAGAGGGGAAACTTATTTTCAAAACGCCAATACACATATTTTTAGCTATACTTTCATAACCTTTCATAACTGGATTTTTCCTTCAATTATTTTTTATGTGTACAGTTTAATTATATCTTAGTGAAATGCTAATTCTTCAAAATTGAAATTATTACTATTGTTTTCTTGAAACTTAGACGCAAAAATGAAAGCAATTGTGAACACACTTCATCAAAATTATACTTCACATGAATATTTTACCTACCTTTAATTATCGAAACAATTTCATAGGTAACATGTGGTGGATAGTCGGTTAAGACATCCAATGCCGTTCGTCCATTTCCATCGACGGCATATAGATCGATTCCGGCACGTAATAGTGTACATACAACAGACTTTTTGCCACACAATGCCGCTTCGTGTAAAGCGGACCCGGAATTTGTCAAAATATTTACATCTACACCAGCTGCTAATAACGTTTCCACCACTTTCTTATGACCATTACGTGCAGCAAGATGCAGGCATGAATGTGTAAAAATATGTTTTGTTGGTGTTATCGTATAGGGTGGTGAATGCCCATTTTCTAGAGCGACAATTTCATTGTAGACACGAAACGGCTCAATTAGTTCAGGATGTGTTCTTATCAATATTTGCACCACTTGTAGACGACCAAATTGTGAAGCTAAATCCAAAGCAGTTTGGAAACTATTATTTCGTATTGTTGGATCAGCACCATATGATAAAAGTATTGCTACTACAGCATTGTGGCCATGTTCGGCAGCACAATGTAAAGGTGTTTCATTTTGTGAGTTCTGGGCGTTTGGATTTGCGGGTCTTCGGGGATGCATTAGAAGCATTCTAACAATATCAGGCTTATCAGCCCATGATGCAAGATACAGAGGCGTGGAACCGCGAATGTCAGGTACATCGGTGGCAGCATCATGCGACAAGAGTAGTCGTACAATTTCTTCATGACCATTCAGGCAGGCATGATGTAGTGGTGTATAACCATTCATATCCTGTGCATTTAAACTGGGACTGCGTCGAAAACTAAAAATAAAAAATACATAAATTACATATTAAATTGAATTTATGGGAAACAAGTCGGGGCCAAGACCACTCATCTATTTCTAAAAATTTTACAAATTTTTAATAAACAAAAAGGAAACATTTATGTATGCAAATACACTAAATTTTCTAAAATGATGTCATATGTTGGTATAATTTTGAATACAGTAATGTTAGTCGTGTAGGCATGTTAATTCAATCACTAATGTGTTATTTCGTAGAACAGTCTCCCCCTCTTTCTAAAGTAGTTCTATAATTACTTTTAATTTTTACAAATATTTCAGTTATTTAAAATAAAGATACTATGTTTATCCTGATTTTTTGTTATTCTAAAGACAAAGACAAGTAAATGGATGTTTAAAATTCAAATCATCTTCAGCCAGGTTATGGGGCCTTTTTCAACCGTTTAGGAGTTTATAAAAATACGAATCAAAAATAATATTAATTAGTTGACTATAACTCTCAAACGGTTAAAAATTGTACATTCCCTATGTCTTTCAACCTCTCGTTGCTAGAAGGGTGTGCTATTTTTTTCTCGCAAATGTATGTACATTAAAGGTGTAAATTTCGATAGGCATTCAAGACCGTAATGACCTTAATTCAACGACCCAAACCAACATTTTCTTACGTATGTACGTACGTATCTATAAATTAATGCGATAAGTAGTGCATGTTTAAAAATGAAAGTATTTCGCTTACCTAGAAAGTGGACCTCCTTTTTTGGCATAATGTTCCAGAATTTTGCCAACAACACTAATGTTGCCAGTTCTGGCCGCGTCCAATAAATCCTGAGATCTTCCCATTATTACAGAACCATATACAACTGACAAAAAGATTAATTAACAATTTCGTAAATGCCTGCAGTAGCTAATTGTCAGCAATTTAAAATTGGGATCATCTTGCATTCAAATGATGAGAGAAGAGAATTGATCAGCTGTTGATTGACACTCTCCACCCACCACCACCCTTTCATGCACGAACAAAACAACAGCAACGACTTTCAAAACACAAGCGAACATGAATGTTTTTTTTTTTCTTTTTGAAACACCAACAACAGCACTGCTTGAGAATTATTTAAACAAATTATCACTGTTTATCCCGCATTTGTTTACACAATAGCTCGCAGCATACAAGAATTCAAGGTCTTTTATTCTTTTTTTCTCCAGCCCTGAGCAATGTCAAAAAATAGTTGAAATTTAAGAAAAAAACAACACCGAACACACTCTCGCTCGCGCACTCAAGGAGAGACAGATTATAGGGATTTGATCGAAAAATTTTTTTACGAGTTCATTCACTTGTTGCTTTTACTACTTTTTAAATTCATTTTCATTTACAACATAATTGTCATTTCTTGTTTTACAACTTATTCTTTAAAATCACTATTGTATTGTATAAAACACGTTTTTCTCGTGGAATTTAATATAAATTTATTAATTACTGTTTTAATTAAAATTGCTCCCCAACTCAACTCTCAGCCCCAAAGAAAACGATCCAATTGCCAATTTGTCAAGCAGCGGCGTTCAATGAAGTAATCACACGGCCACGTAGTTTAATTGAGTACATTGTCCGTACATGGGCTTTGAACCGTCGACATTGTTTAATAGGTGGTATCGCTTGCTTATCAACTGATTGTAATAATTTATAATATCAGTTTATTTTTTTGTCCTTTCTGGCACTGGCTGTCTTTTTCGTAAATGACCTACTGTTAATAATGTCTCGAAATTAAACTAAGTCAAACACTTATCTGGATTTTCAATCATTTATAGAATATGTTTGGTTATTTAAATTTATCATACAAAAATAAATGTTCTTATAACCGATCCGGTGCGGAATCTACTTTTTAAGGGAACGCATAGCGGTGTTTTAATGCGGTACGCTCTAAAGTCGCATTTTGCATTAGAATTACCACAAAACATGTAAAATGGTATTTGCTCATGATAATACATTGAACAATTCATTATTTTCCTTCAACACGGTTACTAATGTGACTCTACTTTTCAATATCATTTGGCTTTTTTCAAATATAAGTAGATTTTTATATGTTTACTTATACGACGTCATTCGGAGGTTATTATAAACATTTTTACACATTTAAATAATTTTCATTCAACATTTTCAATTCCAAAATTGGTTTGACAGTTCATTGTCCCAGCAGCTGTGTCGATGCGTCTACCTTTATTCTTCTACCATGCTTTTGGCTGTGTGTATACACAAATAAACATCCCCTTAAAGGGGATGGCACAAAAACTGTTTGGCATCATTGCATTACATATTAATAAATTATAAATTATGAGGGATTCGAGCGCGTCTCTGACATTCCTTTATAATATGGAAATAATTTTACCATGGTAGAATTAACAAGGTAATGTAATCCAATTATATGTTTACAATTTTGTTTTTCGAAATTATTCGTCTGACAACATCTCATTGTCAAAATTAATTCATTGTACCTAAACAAATCAGAGATGGGAACCTGATTTCAATGCCGTGCCAAGTTGTTTATGTATCATAACATTAAGGCCGGTTATCGAACACATAAATCATTTTTCATTGTTACAAGTTAAGTAAATTTATGTTGCCATATTTTATATTGATAATATGCCAATAACAGCAAAATTTATTAACATAAACAAATGGATAACCCTAATCGTTTATTTTATATTGAAGAACTGAATTATAGATTTATTTCACGAAATTAATTACAAATTATTTTTAAACTAATAAATTAAGATGACATTGTGAAAAAAATACAGCGACTACCAGTTACTTTCACAAGAAGCTTGCCATATCTTCATTGAATCATCAATGAGCATTGATTTTAACGGAATGGTTTAATAATGAAAACCCGATAATATGAACTTTATCCTTTAAGGGATAACAAAAGTGGACTATAAAGGAATTATATAAGGACGGACCTGAAGACCTAAAAATGTATACCATAACAACCTCCGATGGGCGGAGTAAAAGAAAACAGATAAAATCTTATTTTTGAAAAAAAAGCTTAGCTAGCTAGTTTGACACATCAATGTTCCCAATCGTTTATGCATCCACCTGTATTCTTTTACCATGTACCACGCGCAATACCTTTTTATTGTATTGAAGTAAAGGCAAGAAATGTTAATTAAAATTAATTCAAAGAAAACAATAAGGAACAAATATATATGTCAAAATAAGATGACAATTTTCAAAATGAACATATCAACAAATAATTATATATTTATCTATGTCAAATGTGTACAATGTTCATAAATTTGCATCCTTGTTGTACTATCTGAATGTATAGAAACAAAATACGTTTCGTTTCATAGTCAGCACCTTTTGTATATGTCCCTGTAATACGAACACTTCCCAAAAAGTGCTGCCAAACATACCAAGCTTTGTTGGTGGACTTTTGAAAATATAACGGCATTCAAAAATTTTCTCTAAAAGAAACAACAACTGCTAGGGACGCTCTTGTTAGGATAAATAAAATAAGGGTTTTAATCGCTGTATTGAATTAAAAATATTGAAGAAACAATTTGCGCAACTATACATGATGGAAAATTCGAATGAAAGTGATGGGGGTAAGTTATACATGCAGGAAAAATAGTAAGACATTTTTAACTAATGATCTCATTGTTATCCATAGCTCCACTAACCCATTCCCTTGAAAATGTATCAAGGCGTTCAAGAAAAGTGAAAAATCTTGAAAAGGAAGTTGAAATGATACTTTCACAAGACGAAAGTGATGAAGAGAGGGAAAATGATGAAGAGTTGGCACCATTACCCAAAACTCCTTCCACTAGGAGGAGGCAGGTCAAAGGAACTGCTTGTACTCCCCAAGCATCGGAATCTGTATTGCAGGATATGCTGCAAACTCCGCGTAGAAGTTGCCGGAAAAGTATTAAGCCACCGCAAGATTATGATGATATTGTGAAACATTCAACAAGACGGTCAGCTAGAAAGAAACTCAAACCATTGGATGAAAACAATGAGGAGAACGAGAATGAAATTGAGGAAGAATATCCTAAGTGGTCTGCAGCAAGTGTTGGAAGATCTTCAACAAAGCGTGGAAGAAAATCTAGGCGCAACACTACCACCAACCGTGGTAGGAGGAATTTAAATGAAACTGCATTGGACGAACAAAATGTTGCTCACGTCTCTTCTCGTGGAAGTGAAGAAACCGATGATGCAACTGTACACGTCAAAAAGGAGGTAGACGTTGAAATCTCGATTGTTCCCGATAATGTGATGGAGAACAATGAAAATGTTATGGAAGTGAAAGGTGTCAAGGAAGAGGGAAATCAACTATTCAAAGAAGTTATTCCAAACCCAGAAGTGCATGAAGAAATTCCTTTGGAACAGAAAGAAATAGAGGATGTTATATTTCCCAAAATGGAAGAGAAAAATCCTGAAGAGATTAATTGTGTAATCGATAAAATTCCACAAGAACAGCCTGAACATACAATGAACTTAATGCAAGAAGATGAAAATCCCGAGGAAGATATTCAATTAATTCAGGACGATGAAGAGGACGATGTAAAAGAGGTGATAATCCAACAACAACAAGAGGAGGAAGAAAAGAAAACAATAAATGATGTTCCCTATTTGAAAGTGGAAGAAGTTGCTGATTTAAGTGTCCAAGAAGAATCGATGATTTCAATAAAAGATGATTCCATTATTGAACAAGTTAAGAATGAGAACGAAGAATATAAGGAGAGAAAATCATCCGTGGAAAACGATTCCTTTGGTTGTTATTTAAAATCAAAAGAAATCGACATTGATGATCTTGGTTTAAATCCTATCAATGATGATGATGACTCAGCTAATGTATCCATTAGAGAAGAGGTCAAAATGGAGGAAACCCAGAATGTGGCATTAATCGAACAACCGGAAGAAATGCCTTCGTTAATACTCTGCGATGATGATGATGACTGTGAAGATAATAATGAGAAGCCTCAAGAAGAAGAAACGGTCAATCTAAATGAGACATTCGATGCAGGAATTACTGAGGATGTCACAAAAACATCGAATGTTGAAGGACATTTAATGGAGGTGGACAATTTAGCTAAAGGAAGTGACTTACCGCTTTCTATAGAGACAACAGAAATGGACAAACTACAATTGTCTGATGATGAAGAGGAGGAGGAGAATGGTCCAGCCAAGAAAAAGTCGAAGGTCATGTTTAGCAATCAAATTCCATCTTCACCCTCAACACCCAAACAATCAAAAATGACAGTCAGACAACTAACACCATATCGCACTAAAAGCGATAGCAAACCTAAAATAGTTCCAATGCATGGTAGTGACAAAAAATTACATTTGAAAAAGGACAACTTAAATTTCAGTACATCCGAACTAACAACAATGACTCCAAGAGATATTGTCTTAAGAGGCATACGTAAGAGGTCCATGTCCGTGTGTTTGGGAGTTCCAGTGCCCAAACTTACCAGAAGTGCCAAAAAGGCACAACAAAAAGCAGTGAATTTCTATAGTCCAGCAAACCAGACAGCAATTATTGAAGATTTAGATAAACTAATACAGAAAAATGTGAAGCAAAATATGCAAAAATCAGAAGATGGAAATAAAAGTAAGTATTTTAAGAAGCGCTATTTGTAGTAAGCATAATTAATTAATGAGTTACTTTTACAGATGTAACAACAAGGCGCAAACGTTCATATTCTTTTGATGAGTCCACTATGTCAAAATCCATGTGTGTAACCTCAAGACTTCCACGTCCAAGTAAGTTCTTTTGGAAGTGTGTTTTTAAATTATCTCATTAATATTTTTCTTGTATTCTTTTCAGTGGCCAATTCCAAACATTTCCTAAATTCAACCACGACATCATCATCGACTTTACTGACCTCAAGTATGTCCAAACCGGCACGCACAAAATTACCAAACTTCGCTGCTATTCATCAAAAACAGTTCCAGAAAATGGAAAATTTAGCTGATCATGTCGCTCGTAAACAGGAACGCTCTAAAAATTTAATCAACTCCAACAGCAAAATAAGGCCAGGTAAAAATATTTTTTTTTTTCAAATATGTCGATAAGAAGAAGGATACTTTTTATATTCTGTTGGCCCAGTACAGTCTTTTTGTTTATTTTTGACATTTTATTTTATCTATGTACACTACTAATGGTGATCCCCCTCCCTACGATTCCAATTGTTGTTTTCTAACAACAATGTGCCTAAGACAACAACAGGCCTAAGACTGGGTTTAGGTAGAAATTAAAAAACAACCCCTAGAGTGCAAGCAATGTAGGGGGGATGTAAATAAAAACAAAGAAATACTAAAATGCAAGAAATCCTAAATAACTATCGTTTCGGAATGCACTGAGAAATGTAATTCACAGGCATGCCTTATCATCATATCAAAAAGTAGAATGAAGTTTAAAAAATAAGTGGACGGTACAACAATACATGGTATTTATGAGTAACAAATTGGCCAGAAGAAATAAATAAAATAATTTTTTACATTTTCTTCAGACTGTGAACGTGTTTTCTGGTGTCTTTTTATACCCTCCACGATGTCCGGACGTCTGTACGTCTGTGGGAATCACTCAAATGTATATTATGCTTGCAAGAATTTTGGTATTGAAAATGGGATATGTAGGTCGTCGTTTTGGTATAGCCTCCATATAATGATACCTCCCTTTTTCGGTATTTTGATGATTTTAGTGGCATTATTCACCGGAATTGTTTCAAATTTGGTATTTGAAGTTCGAAATGGATACTACAGCCTAAGACAGGAAATTGTCTGTGCAGGTCCACGTCTTCGTATAGCCCCCATATAACGGTACCTCCCGATATTCGGTATTTTGATGATTTTTAGCGACATTTTTCATCGGAATTGATTCAAATTTGGTATTTGAAGTTCGTAATGGATACTACAGCCTAACATAGAAAATTGTCTGTGCAGGTCTACGTATTCGCATATCCCCTATATAACGTTACCTCCCGATATTCGGTATTTTGTTGATTTCAGCGACTTTATTCACCGAAATTGTTTCAAATTTCGTATTTGAAGTTCGAAATGTATACTACAGCCTAAGACAGAAAAGTGTCTATGCAGGTCCACTTTTTGGTATAGCTCCATATAATAGTACCTCCCTATATTTTGATGATGCAGGTCCACGTCGTCGTATAGACCGTACCATAACGGATACATTCGGTTTTTTTTAAGATTTTAAGAGAATTTTTAACGGATTTTATTTTTTTTTAAATTGGTGGAGGGTATTTAAAGTTCACCCTGGCCGAATTTACAGCTTTTTTACTAATTTATTGACATCAAAATTTTTTGATATAGAGGCCTTGCCATTCTATTCGACATAAACATTGTTGGTTCAGCAGTATAGCTCATTATTTATTTGTTGGTTTCATTTTCAATCTCTAAGCGAAATCTCGCTTTCTTAGCGAATAATGTCATGTCGTGTTTAGAGGGATCATTTTTTATATTGGGGGATTTTAACGATAGTCTCGTTTCTACCGAGATCAATGTAATAATAAATATATTATATACTATATACATGCATTTATAAAAATAAATTTTTTAATAATTTTCTTATCCCTTATTTCTTTTTTTAGTATCGGCCCAGAAAAATATTTCAACTTCCGTGAGGAATAACAGCAATACAAATGAAAAACCTAAGGCTTTGAAACGCATAGATATGACATCATCACAAAGTCAAATTCAAGGCAAGTCAGCAAATACTTCGATAGCAACTACTGCAAGAAAATTGCCAGCTCCTCTCAATAATCAAAATAAAAATCCCATAGAACAAAATACAAAATCATCCAATTTACCGGATCCAAGAGATGCCAAGATACCACTAACTACTACTAAATCAAAAACAACAGTAGCTCCGTCAAGCATGTTACCTAAAAAACATTTGCAGCCAACGCAATCCTTTAATGTTTCATCAAATACAAATTATTCTTTTAAACAAAAGCCCACATTCAATTTGTCAACACAAGTGGCCGCTGGCAGCAGCAGTACAGCATCAAGTAGACTCGCAGCTAACACATCGATTGCCCAGAAGAAAACCACAACAACAGGCCTTACCAATCAGGATAAGATGGCTTCACGGTTACAGCGTCACATGGATATGTTCAAAGGTCGTGTTCCGGCAGCACGCGCTGGTGTCGCTTCACGTAAAAATGAGGCAGCTATAAAAGGTGTCCGTTCGAATCGTCGCTTTGAATTGCAAATGCAACATAGAAAGAATATCGAAAATTAGTGTTTCTCATATTGCAATTTGTTGAATTTGCTTTAAAATGTATTTTTATATTTTTTAATTAATTTAATTATATTTAGGATGTATTTATAAGTAAGGGTTAAGATACTCGTCGTTCGCTTTTTCAATTTGAATTATTTTTATAATATTTGTTTCAATGTTGATTTCGAGTTTGTGCTTGTAAAAGACATTGTTCGCGTGGTTTCGCTCTCTTGACTATTTTTTCGGTAATACTATATAAATGTAAATTTTTGGCATAATTGATGAAAGAACAATTATTCGAAATAAAACATTTTTAAAATGTATGTTTGTGATGTTTATTATATTATGCGAGCGATTGAGGAGATAGAAGAATAGGTTACGAAAGAAAATTCTGTATGAAATCGGTAGTGATTTTTTACATTTATTGTAATCATAGGTGCCAATAGACCCATTGGGAAAATAAGTACCTTTGAAGCATCGTTCTTAATTAATATAGATCTTTTTTTATTTACTGGGTATTAAATAAAGTTTTATATGGGTCGACTGCTATGATAACTCTAGGGAAGAACAACCCGTTTAATCTAAACTACATATAAGCATAGCAATGTTATTAAACTTAAATCATGTAGGAAGATAAATTATGTTGATTCACTTTACCTCATCTCCTATTCTAATTGAATAATGTAGCTAAAATCATCAAAATACCGAATATCGGGAGGTACCGATACATTGGGTCTATACGAAGACGTGGACCTGCACGGACAATTTTCTGTCTTTTTAGTATCCATTACGAACTTCAAATTCCAATTTTTTTCAATACCAAAAGTCCTGCAGGCATAGTATACATTTGAGCAAAATTTTATCAATCTACTTCAATTCGTTCGGAAGCTAGAGTAATTTTCAAGACGCACATCGCTAATCGATACAGAATTTTATGGTGATCAAGAATATATATACTTTGTAGGGCCTACATAGTATATTTCGATGTGTTACAAACGGAATGACAAACTTAATATACTCTCGATACTATGGCGGAGGGTATAACAAGTTATTCGTGATGGAATTCCAGCGTGACAGTGTGATTTCTTTATGTTTGGCTGGAAAACCACAAGTGACTATCGTTAGAGCACTCCAGCATTTAAATGTGAATAAATCTTGTGTGTCTCGTACCATCGCTCGTTACCGTGATACTGGTAGCGTAGCCCGACGTAAAGGAAGTGGACGGAAGAAAACAGTAACATCAGCAGACATGGTTCGAAAATAGACTCAAAAGAGCTAAAGAGTTGCTTCGCTTGGCCGAAAGTGGTAAACTGCCGAATTTGGTTTTCTCCGATGAGAAAACATTCGTTGTCCAGCAGTTTGTAAATACACAAAATGATCGTGTTTACTTGCCAAAGAGGTCAGATAAAAATGTGCACCTTCGGTTGGCCACCAGAACTCAAGCTCCGGCCAAGGTGTTGCTGTGGGCCGCCATAACAGTCGATGATCGCTTTCCGCTCATATTAATCGAATAAATGCCTAATATTATCGCGCAAAATGTTCTGGAGGGTTTATTAAAGCGTGTCCAAGGCTTTAAACAAACATTTTGGCCGCAGACCTTGGAAATTCCAACAGGACTCAGCACCATCGCACCTAGCACACGCCACCCATGAATTGTTACAAAATGGGGTTCCTCGCTTCATTTCCAGCGCACAATGGCCACCAAAATCTCCGGACACCAAACCGTTGGATTATTGTGTCTGGAGTATTTTGAAAAGCAAGGTTGGTACTAAAAATATACCAAAGTTTCGATTATCTCAAGCAAGCGCTTCTCCGAGAATGGGCCGAAATACCGCAGAGCAACATTCGGGAAGCGTGTGGTTGTTTCATTGGCCGTTTGAAGGCCATTTCGCCAATTCGTGCCAAAGGTGACCAATTCGAACAAATCTAAACATATTCTAAAATCTGATGCTATTTCCAACCATTATTTTTGCTTTCATTCAATAAAATTAAAAAAAGTAAAAATTATGGCGTTTGACTTTGTTGCAGTGTTTTTATCTCACCCTGTAGATAAATTGTAAATCGTACCCATTTTTGTGAGGCACAAAAGTGTACGAAATATCCAAATCATATCTGACAAACTAATCAGATTTTTTATTTTGAGTTATTTGAATATTTGAATTTAAGAATTTTCGCTTTTATAAGTCAGCTCATTGAATAAAATGCAAGTTACCGGGACTTTGTTGATTATAACATTGCTATTGACGGCCGAACCCATTGCGGGAGATGATGAAGAAGCGGCTCCAGCAGATGGTGGTGAAGAAGAAGGTAAAATCTTAACGTCGTTATGGAAGGTTTGACTGAAAAACAGTAAATACGTAGTCTTCGCACAATTTTCTTTTGAAGATTTTGGCGGTAAAAAGAACGGTAAACTCCTGTTTGGGTTTAGTTTTGCTTTTCAATTGATATAAATAGTTTCTATTACGATTTCTCCCGATTACTTTTGGTGATTAATACTACTTTAAGATCGTTTGTGAATGTCTTTGGAGCTGACGTCTTATGGGGTTTCCTTCGTCTTTGACTCCTTTGGTTTCATGTTTAAAGGGTGAAAATGGATGATTTATAGGACTATCAGATTTTTAACATACCTAAGAGAATTTTTTGCTTGACATAAGTCATGGGCTGGATTCTTGTGCAAGATTAAATTAAATATCATGGATTATTTAAAATATTTTTTAACGACTATAAATTATGGATCTTTAATGAAGGTTAGGTTGGGTTAAAGGATGTGCCGTTGTATTATGGTTATCCGGCTGTTCATCCTAATTTGGAAAAAAGGAAAGCGAAAAGAGAAGATATTGGGCAAATAATATGATGATTAAATAATAGTCGAGGATTAAAAGTTCATCCTGTCGTCTTTAGCTACTTTAATCTTCAGGAAGAATTACTTCAGGTTCTGTGTTGGAGAATGAGTCTTACATTGATGTGAGTTGGACGGTGGCCGAGCAAATGTTCGACTGTCTCAATTTCTTCCTTATCTTGGCTGATCATACATTCGAGTGTGCCATTGGTAAAGGCTCCCCTCATATCGAAGTAATCTACCAAGGTAAATAGAGAATCATGCATATTTTTTCTCGATGTGACCCACGACAACATGTTGCGCTGTCTCAATGGATTTGCCTTTCATATAGGCATGCTGAGTGGTGCTGATGCTAATCGGGGGTAAAGAGCTCTGATTTCAATGTCAATTAACATTTCTAGAGTTTTTAATGGGAATCTTTTATAAGACCAAAAAATCTGACTTTTTTTGAGGACTTTTAAAAGTCATTTATATTTACAGGGTGAGATGAAAAACTGCAACAAATTCAAACGCTATCATTTTTACATTTTTTTTTAATTTTTTTGAACCAAAGAAAAAAATGTCGGAAATAGCATTAAATTTTAGAATAAGTTTAGATTTATTCGAATTGGTCACCTTTGGCACGAATTATGGCCTTCAAACGGCCAATGAAACCGTCACACGCTGCCCGAATGTTTCTCTGCGGTATATTGGCCCATTCGCGGCGAAGCGCTTGCTTGAGGTGATCGATACTTTGGTATTTTTTAGTGCCAACCTTGCTTTCCAAAATACCGCAGACTCAATAGTCCAACAGATTGGTATCCGAAGATTTTGGTGGTCATTATGCGCTGGAAATGAAGCAAGAAACATCATTTTGTTACCATTCTTGGGTGGCGCAAAATATTTGCGTGCACCCTCCAAAATATTTTCGCGATAATATTCGGCATTTCTTCTGATGCCACGGTCGATGGTCGCTCTCCCATTGGCTGTTATGGCGTCCCACACCATCACCATGGCCGGCGCTTGAGTTCTGGTGGCCAACCGAAGGTACACATTTTCAGCTGACCTCTTTGGCAAGTAAACACGATCAGTTTGTTCTTTTCACAAACTGCTGGACAGCGAATGTTTTTTCATTGGAGAAAACCAAATTCGGCAGTTCACCACTTTCGGCCAAGCGAAGCAACTCTTTAGCTCTTTTGAGTCTATTTTCTTTCTGTTGCAGTGTAAGTTCTTGCACTTTTTGGAATTTCAATGGTTTTACCCCGAGCTCATTTTTCAATATTTGCCGAATGGAATATTGCGATAAGTTCAGCTAACAAGCCATTTTTCGGCCACTGCGACGCAGGTTTCGATCAAGTCGCTTCTTCTTTATATTTCGAACCATTTCTGATGATGTTGCTGTTTTCTTCCGTTCACTTCCTTGACGTCGGGCTACGCTACCAGTATCACGCTGCAGAGCCCTAACGATAGCCACTTGTGGTTTTCCAGCCAAATATAAAGAAATCACACAATCACGCTTGAATTCCATCGCGAATACCTTTTTTTCTGGAAAATTCTCACCAACGATTGTAAACAATATAATGGGCTGTCACTGGAATAATTTTAAAAGCTTTCGGACGAGTGGCTTAGGAATGACAGCAGTCTGAATTTGATTGCAGTTTTTTCATCTCACTCTGCCATTATTAATTCGAAACAAGTTCAATTTCCCCTCCTCTGTTATCTTAGGTGTCAAGTGTTACGTCTGTAGTGGCGAAAATGTTGAATGCATTAGTCTGCAGAGTTACAAGTCTCGCTACAAGCTATTGCAAACCTGTAAAACTGGATGTGCTGTACTGTTGGGACAAACTGGCGAAATTGGTGAATATGGTAAGCATCTAATGATCAAGAATAAATCGAAAAGAATTATTTCTAAAATTCTGCTGTCACAGACACGAGTATTAAATTTGCCCGAGGCTGTGATGATCTGGAGAAATGTGATGCAAAAAATGTCCATTGTTGCAAATGCAGTTCGGATGAGTGCAACATTAATAATTATTGTTCTGGCGCCTCCAGTGGTGTTCTGCAAAATTTCAAATTGTTGCAAATAATCATTTATTTTGTGTGTGTCTGCTATGCTGGATTTAGAACTTGAAAAATTACTTTGTGACATACAATACACATTTTTTTTTACTAAATTTCAGTGAAAAATAATACCCAAGATAATTGCATGGCTTATCGCCTTGCCGTGTCTGATGGCGGCTGACTGTTACTCTGACATTTTAAATGTTAAGGAAATTGTTTTTACTTTCTACTCTAGCGGCATCCTCACCTTTGTTTCCTGACATTTGTAGAAATTTCCTCGTAAAATCACCTTTCCTCACACACCAAACTTTAGGAGCTAGCTATACTTACTTACATCTTCTTCCTTGCTTTCAATTGTTGTGTGCTGTTCTATCGCAAAAAAATGAAAAAAAAAACAGGACATTTAGCTAGTCCGGATTCCATGGCGCTCTGTTCAAATTCACTTTGAAATGTTAAGTCGTCAACAAATGGAATGACACCAACCACTACAATAGCGGCAACAAAAGCACATAAGTACAGCTGAAAAAACGAAACGAAAACGAATTTCCTTTTTCAATTGCTAACAAACACACTAATATATTTATGAATGCATGTCTGGATATTAGGTTGATACGAATGCAAAAATATTGATTTTTAAGTCACTCACCCGTATCGCGTAACAAATTTTCCCAAAAAAAAAATCACCATTCCAAAAAATGCAATCATGTACTTTTTTTCATAAAAGTTCACAAAAAGAAATTATAATTATATTAATTTTGGGAATGGGGATTCACAATTGTCATGCGAACAAATATTCACAATTTCTACGCGATAAGGGTGACTGTTGGTCAGAGATTTGGGAATGCTCACTTTGATAATAATTTCATGAGTACGTTTTTTAGCTTTCTTCAATCAAGATAATCCTAAGTTTTAACTAATTTATACATTCGAATCAGTTATAATTAAGCATATCCTTTACATTGTGCAACAAAGTTCAATTTTTTCCAAAATTATGGGGACAATCCAGCATGTTATGAAAGTAGATCTAAAACCAGTAAAGAAAGTCCTAAAGTCGGACGGGGCCGATTTTATGATACCCTACACCACTTTGCTAAGTTAGTTGAGCTCCACATAACAATTAAGAGTTTTTATGGGAGAGTTCAATTATACACCCTACTATGATTATAATTATAATTTAAAATTCAAAGGACTAAATATGCCGAAGCATTTGTATCTTTTAAATTCGGACTTGTATTGCCCATTTGGTGCAAAATTAATTTGAAATCAGGTAAAGATATATATGGGAACTATATCCAAATCTGAACCGATCTCGATAAAATTTGGCAAAGATATTTCTGAGCTGTATTTGATATATTTCCCTGAATATCGTTGTTACGGAGTGCATATTACGGCTGTGGGTAACAAATACTAGAAATCGGATGAACAATATATATGGGAGCTATAGCTATATCTTAACCGATCTTCACTAAATTTGACATACTAGCTTCAAGACTCAATTCGATTTTAAGTGCCAAATTTCATCCAATTTGGGCAAATAGCAGACGTTTGGTGCACAATCAAAGGTAAATCGGACGAAGTTATATATGAGAGCTATATCCAAATCTGAACCGATCTCGACAAAATTTAGCAAAGGTATTTCTGAGCTGTATTTGATATATTTCCCCAAATATTGTTGTTACAGAGTGCATATTATGGCTGCGGAGGACAAAAATAACAAATCGGATGAAACATATATATGGGAGCTATAGCTATATCTAAACCGATTCCGATCAAATTCGGCATACTTATTTTCAGGCCTAATTTGGTTGTATGTGCAAAATTCCATACTATTCGGGCTGATATTACACGTTTGGTGCACAATAAAAGGCAAAACGGACGAAGATATATATGGGAGCTACATCTAATTTTTTACCGATTATCTCCAATTTCAATAGGATTCGTCCTTGGGCCAAACAAATGATTTGTGCAAAATTTCATCTCAATCGGATAATAAATGCGACCTGCATTTTGTTCACAAGAATACATGGATAGACGGACGGACGGACAGACGGACTGACATGCATAAATCAACTCAGAAAGTGATTCTATGGAGATCCTCAAAAGTAAGTATGGGTCTATCTCGCTTCCTTTTCCATGTTACAAACAAATGCACAAAGACATAATACCCTTACCACTATGCGGTGTAGGGTATAAATAGAAGATATGTGTATCGGCGTTTTGAAAGTGTAAATCGAAAAGTAACCAAAATAGAGGAGGCAAGTTCTCCCCTTTCCCATACTTTTGGAAATTTTCGGATTAAGAATCCTCAGGAACCATGCATTTTAGGTCTTAAATTATGATAAACAGTTTCTTTTAACAGGATCGTCAAGATATTCCACAAAATTGTTTGTCATACAATTCTACTATAAATCTAAATCTTACATAAAAGCATCGAATTCATATATATTAAAGCACATTTAAAAGCGGTTAAAGCGGTAATCTGTGTGAGTTTGTGAAAAAATCTCAAACAAAGCAAACTTTTAGACAAATGGCGCCAAAGACAAAAATATTCTTCATCACATTTTACTATAAGTTATCAAAGAAAAAAATATCTATATTTCCACTGAATATTAAACAAGTTAAAAAGCAGTAAGTTCGACCGGGCCTAACTTTGAATACTCTCCACCATTTGGAACGAATTTGAAAATTTTCAAAAATAAAATCCGTTAAAAATTCTATTAAAATCTTAAAAATACCGAATATACGACATCTCAAACAATTTCGGGGAGTATTGTACCTTAAATCGTCAAAATACCGAATATAGGGAGGTACTGATATATGGGGCCTATACGAAGACCTGGACCTGCATAGACAATTTTCTGTCACAGGCTGTAGCATCCATTACGAACTTCAAATACGACATCTCAAACAATTTCGGTGACTATTGTACCTTAAGTCATCAAAATACTAAATATTGGGAGGTACCGTTATATGGGGGCTATACGAAGACGTGGACCTGCACATACAATTTTCTGTCATAAGCTGTAGTATCCACTTCGAACTTCAAATACCACATTTGAAACAATTCCGGTTAATAATGTCGCTCAACTCATAAAAAAAAACCAAATATCGGGAGGTACCATTATACGGAGACTTCAGAATATCAGCTCTGTAATTCCCTCATTACAAAATGTAATACTCTTCTTTCAACTTCAGGAGACATTCGTATCAAATCTCAGTATTTCAACTCAATTCCTTCACTCATTACCAAATGTAGTACTAGTTAGCACTTATCTTACAATTATAGTACACACCACCTCACAGGGTGAGATGAAAAAACTGCAACAAACTTAAGACTCCTGTCATTTTTAAGCCACTCGTCCGACAGTTGTTAAAGCATTATGGTAAACATTTTCCAGAAAAAAAGTTATTCGTGAAAAAGTTATTTTTTTATGTTTGGCTGGAAAACCACAAGTGGCTATCGTTAGAGCACTCCAGCATTTAAATGTGAATAAATCTTATGTGTCTCGTATTATCGCTCGTTACCGTGATACTGGTAGAGTAGCCCGACGTCAAGGAAGTGGACGGAAGAAAACAGAGCAACATCAGAAGGAATGGTTCAAAAACTAAGGAAGCGACATGATCAAAACCTGCGTCGCAGCATTCCATTCAGCAAATATTGAAAAATGAGCTTGGGGTAAAGACATTGAAATTCCAAAAAGTGCAAAAATTTACACCGCAACAGAAAGAAAGTAGACTCAAATAGATTTAAAGAGTTGCCTCGCTTGGCCAAAAGTAATGAACTGCCGAATTTGGTTTTCTCCGATGAGAAAACATTCGTTGTCCAGCAGTTTTTTAAGCAAACAAAATTATCGTGTTTACTTGCCAAAGAGGTCAGCTGAAAATGTGCATCTTCGGTTGGCCACCAGAAATCAAGCGCCGGCCATGGTGATGGTGTGGGCCGCCATAACAGCCGCCGGTCGCTCTCCGCTCCTATTAATCGACCGCGGCATCCAAATAAATGCCGAATATTATCGCGAAAATATTCTGAATGGCGTATTAAAGCCTTGGGCATGCAAAAATTTTGGCCGCAGACCTTGGACATTCCAACAGGACTCAGCACGCACCACCCAAGAATGGTTACAAAATGAGGTTCCTCGCTTCATTTCCAGCGCATAATGGCTAAAAAAATTGCAAAATCTCCGGACATAAATCTGTTGGACTATTGTGTCTGGAGTATTTTGAAAAGCAAGATTGGCACTAAAAAATACCAAAGTGTCGTTCACCTCAAGCAAGCGTTTCGCCGCAAATGGGCCAAAATACCGCAGAGCAACATTCGGGCAACGTGTGACGGTTTCATTGGCCGTTTGAGAGCCATAATTCGTGTCAAAGGTGACCAACTCAAATAAGTCTAAACTTATTCTAAAATTTAATGATATTTCCGACATTTTTTACATTCATTCAATAAAATTTAAAAAAAAATGTAAAATTGTGGTGTTTGACAGTTTTTGTGATCTCACCCTGTATATCGTGACTCTGATTTTTAAAGAATTACCCTAATATTCTCTACACTCAAAGTGACTCCATTCTATGAACTGAACTGTTGGTAGTTCCAAACTGAGCTCAACTTTTATTAGCAACGAATAGACAAACATACATACCCATACACATATGTGTGTTGTTGCCGTTTGCATCGAAGCTTGCCAGGTGGATGGACGTTTTCCCTGTTTTGTAGTCGGAAATGATAAAAATCGGAAATGTTTGTGATTTTGGAGAATTTTTTGCTGCATTGTTTTTTATTTGGATTTGTTTATTCGATTAAAAGCAATTTGTATTTTAATCAAGATTGAAATCTACGGATATTGGATGGTTCTTTTGAAGTTTACAGATGATTTGCTGATAAAGTGTTGACATGAATTGAATTGTTGTGGGGAAAGGAAGGAAGGAAGGCGTTTGTTTTCATGGGATTTATTTGCTTTGTCGAGAGCTCTTGTGCGAAGAAATATGGATTACAAACATATGAGTAACAACGTCATTGCATCTTCTATAGATATTTAGTCCAGGAGAAGGATTCAAATCCAGATCCACAAGTTTTTAAGAGACTGCATTTGTATACCCCCCACCAT